ATTTTCTGCCTTTTGCAACCTGCTCTATAAGTGCCTTCATTTCCCTACGACTTTCAGAGATGGTCTCCTCCATTCCTGCCACAGGAACCCATACTCATCATCAAGCGCTCGCACCTATTTTGACTTCTTACCAGACCTCTGCTCCTCGACCTTGAGAAATCCTTCGGTGGCTATTGAGGCACAAATCGCCTCCTCAAGCATCCTTGGCCTGGCACGGAAGATTCCCTCGCAGATCGCCTGATCCTCCACGGCGTCATAGAAATGTCCCCTCGCCAGTCTGTCTCTTCCTTCATCCGTCAGCTCAGGGTAGGCCAACCCTGACAATTCTTGAATCCTGCAGCGATTCTTTTGGCCCTTCAGCTCGACACGATGGTTTTCTGCCAGCTGTCCTGTCCAAAACGCTCCTCTGGTAGGCGCACCAGCGGACTGTATGTCAACTGTTCATTACCATCCTGTTGACTTCCCAAAACTTTTACCGCGACACCTTGCAAACTCACCCCCCAAAAAATCTTCACCTGGTCGGCTGACCAGCTGTTTGCCAATTTACACCCCTCAAAGTGTTGAAGCAAATGTCGCCAAGGCGTCTTGCTGTTGAAACGGCCGGGCTTAATGTTCGGTCGCTTCGTCAACAACTCAGCAGCAGGCACATCCTTCTCTATCCGCCAACTTGTCACCTTCAGCTGGCTGGCCTGCACTCGCAGACGACTGCTCATTTGTCTGCTCCTTTTCACTCGCACTTGGCAGGCAGTAACAGGACCCGGTGCTATTGTCTTAACTGGGGTGTTCGCTGGTGCAGCTGATGTTCCGGTATTTTTTTGTCCGTGGCTTGGGTGTTGGCTTCGGAGTGAGGAGCTCCTCATGTCCACTGGGATGTGTTATCATTGATGTGTCGGATGTATCGGGTACCACCGAGTCCTCCTGCCTACATCCAGCAGCTCCCACCAATCTCAACTCACGTACTTCCGACTGCAACTGGACCACCAAGTCGGCTAGCAAACGCATTTCCCGTCTAGGCCTATAGCTCGACAGATCCAGAAATTCCCCTTCAGCCCTTTCCGTGTCGCTCAAGTGCAGATCCATTTCTGATCACCTGTTGCTCTCCCTGCAACACCTATCCCACTTCTGACACCAATTTGTGGCAGTTGTGCCGACACAATCCCCTACTCGTCCTCGGCCGACGTCAGTGAGCGGTCTAGTCTGAGGCAGCCAAGGGAGCAGGCCCGTTTTGAGACAGTCTACCGCCAGGTGCAGCAGAAGAGCAGTACGGGCGCGCACTGGGGTAGAGGACAGGGTGGGACACCTTGGACACAACAGACACAAAGGGACACGTCTGCCTAAGTTGACTCTGGTTTCATAATTGCTCACACCTTTCCAGGTACTACTAATGATGCGACCTCCACAAGCTCTAGCAATCTCCTAGACAGATCTTGGCCCCATACAGGTATAAGCTACGGGCACAACTTATTTTACATCCACCAAATTCGCCGTAAGACTACCGCCCCGTGGATGGAGTTCCCCCGTATAAACTTGTCCCCAGATGATTTATATTAAGTCTGAAGATCCCCCGGTAAGTCGCGTACTTACGGGTACAGCCTAGTAGTTCTCCACGACAGACTTTGTCGGAGAAGTACAAGAAAACTGTTCGGCAACTGAAACTAACCGGGACGGCGCTTGAACTGCTATGGCACATAGGACTGACTGCGAAGGAACTGACCCGCTTGGCGCGCGATCGCACTTATATATCTCGCGGGCTGCCAGCCTGGCGCCACCAGCCACAGCACACAGCGAGCCCCGTCGGCGTGAGGCAATAAGCCCCAGGCCTAACTACGACGGCTCACAATAAACACGCAAACTGCTATTGCGCCACACTACTTTGATTGGTGGAAATTTCGTATGCATCACGTAAGATCATGTCGTTCATATGCAATTGTGAATAACTACATATCACCAACGAGGGGTCCGATTGGTTTATCCGTTCAAGTCAGACTTACTGACTGTTGACGTATGACACACGTTGTACAATAAGGGCTATCAAATGGGGGCGCCTTATAAGGGTTATGCGAGGGCAACGACCGACGCGTGTCGTTCGTTCAGGCTGGAAAATGGCTGATTGGGGAAGAGCAAAATAAGCCCGGCTTGATTCAAGCCTAAGTGTTAAGTGGACACAAGAGGGCAAGCAAGTAACGGCGCACGGCCTCGGTATGCCTCCAAAGCATAAACGAAGACGTCACAGAGATCCCGACTTTAATCAAGTCTACGATTCCATACAGGCTATGCCTAGGTCCCATTGAACTGTCTACAAACAATACTTGCCTCAGAGGGATTATTTACATTGACAGAATCAGACAGTAAGGGGTGTTGGGTCTCTGATGTTTGTAGCCTGCGTAGACACATATCTACAATCAAACTGATCTTGCTGATGCATAATGTCCTAAATTTTGCCGACGAGTGAGATTATTAGCTTAATTGTTTGATCTATTATGCCGATTAATGTCCACACTCATTTATTACCCTATGCGACGAAACAGCCAAGAATTCAGGCATAGGCCAAATTGATTTGGTTCATTTACGGCAAGAGCAGTTTATTGTCCGAAAATTCTCGCATCCATAACTGTTTTCCGGTAGTAGCGACTCCGCGAAAACTTACTTGCTTTTTTGCAACCGCAAATTATAAACACATATCTATCTTCGAACTTATCAATTCGGTTCAGACTACCTTTCCGGGCCGGCCGCCGTGATCCGCGAAAGGTTTTAGGCTGATGATGCACGGGGCCGGTCGCTTGTTTGGTCTATTATGCCGATTAATGTCCACGTTCATTCAAGTTGCATGTCACTTTTTAAGTGAAATACTGCTCTGTTTTTACTCTCTCGGGATTGTGTTATTGTTTCAGCAAATCGGAGAACACATTTTCATTATATAACAATTAGTTGGCGTAGAAGTAATTGAAATATTTGGAGAGGTTTTCTCTAATTATTAAATTCAAAGGTCTTTTATTTTATACACCTGCGGTTTGTAATAACTTAAGGTGTATAAAGAGAAAAAAATCCTTTGTTCCTAGTACAATGTGCCTTTTATAATACATGTCACGGTGCTATCAACATGTACGCGCACAATTAGTGTGTAAAAGGCCTTAGCGCGAGAACCAGCGCGTGCACCAACACGCGCGCGTTCTCCATTCGTTTGTACTGAACTTTCTGGTTCACAGTGACGTCACACTTCGGTACTCCATTGTTATTTACATCATACAAATTTGCTTCTCGTTGCTTTGAAGGAAGGAAATATATCGAAAACAACAACACTGCAGAATGAAATTCCTGTTTTCTGTAATGATTCTATAGTTTTATCAAATGTTTGCAAATAAGTTTATGGAATTTTCTGTTGAATACCTGGCTCTTACTATTGATCTGTAAACTTTAAAACCAACTACGAAATTTGCACTTATTTACGGAGTGTATTTATTCAACTACATTATTATAAAATATTTATCCGCGGTTCTGAATTTTCAGGAATATTACAAAAAGAAAACATCCGGGGCGTCATTACACTCGGGCAGCCTTCAGAGACCCACTCGGCAGCCGGGGCAGTGATGGTCGGCACAAGGGCAGGCACGAAGATACGTGATGGCTAAACAAGCACTCTGGGTTCTGAATATTAGATTAAATCAGTGCTCTGAAATGTGTGATTGCCGAGCTTTCGGTAACTGAGTACTTTCTTGAGGGCAAACAGATTCAGTTCTGAATGAACGCGGAGAAATCCACGTTCATTCCCCCTGGATGCAGCGTTTCAAGTTCGAAAATGACGCGCTGCTCCAGTTTCTTACGCTGTACATCAGATGACGCTTTTCGTACAATGCAGACGCTTACGTCAACGAGGGTATGTGGCGGCGCGCAAAAGTGCTGCGCAACAGTGGGACCAGGTGTTTGTTGGCGCACAGCGATTGTCAGCGATTGTCTAATGAGAGCCTGCAAATCGTGGCGGGTCCGCCTTTGTGACGAAATCACTTAGGAACCGGATGCTGTGAGTACCAGAAGAACACGCCCTCTTTTGTTCCTCTCAGAGCGGATAATGGAGATCAGTGGAATGTGAGTGTGATGTGCGGATATTGCCCTGTCGTGTGATTGTTCTGGGCCAATGAAGAGACTGTATCCAAGACAGAGGTATGACAATGAATTACTCTATATATTCAATGTTTAAACAGTTAAATACATGTAATCTCGTTGAATATACCGCTAAACTACGCGCGCGGAGTTTTCGGATGGCTTTTCACACAGGCAAAAATTAAGTCGAGGCTTAGAACATGAAAATTTCGCATGTCCTTTTTCACATCAAACTGAAAACGGCAAACCCCAACTAGTAATAATGCAGCCTTTGTAACAACCAAATCACAATCAGCACAATAAGACTGTCACATATGTGCAATGAAAAGGATGATTGTCATTACTGTTGTAGCCAGTGCCCCAGATTGGGAGATTGGGGTGGAGAAAGATTGGGGTGACATTAAAATTTGAACAGCGGGGGGGGGCAGGAAGTTGTTACAAAATATTATGACTGTATATAGAGGTTGATGTTCATAATATTATTGTACAGATAATTTTTTGTGGCTTTTAAACTATTTTCCTTTTTGAGTGACGTGGAATGCATTTTGGTCGTTCGGAGGCTGAAAAATTCTTTACAATCCACTTTGGTCACCAAGTGACCAAGTGGGGGGATTAAATAGCCCACCCTCCATCTCGCCCATGGTTGTAGCCATGACTATTCGTTATTTATACACTAATCTGTGATCATGTGAACACCAGAGAACCTTATAAGCCAAATAGTCATGCACGCATTCATTAATACGGGAACTAAATGATGCACGGGCCATCATTTAATACAAATAAAATTTCACTTTGATTTAATGAATTTACTCAGTATTTTCGTTACATTATTCTTGATGTTTCACATTTACAACATTTATTATTTGCAAGCCAGACTATTCTTAAACAAAGATACCCCTTACTTTCAGCAGGTTTCCACATGATGTTCCTATGAATGCCACAGTGTGGTTGAATTCAACGTTAGTGATGATGGATGACGTCAAATAATCTGAAAAAATACAGTACTTTAGTACTTTATTGTAGTCCTTTGAATTTATTCAAATGAATTTTTAAAAATGGAGAAAAAAGTATTTTTTCTAAAGCCCAACTTCAGAGAAACAAACAAGAATTAATAGCACGGTTGGAAGTTTTTACATTTTGTTGAAAGAGCTAACACCTGATCTGTGTTTCTATAAAAGTATTGCGCAATAAGGGTCTGAACGGATGAAACGGCGGGAATAATAGAAAACTCCTTTTGTGCTTGAAATCTGACACACAGAGATTCTTTGCTCATGTTCATTGGCTACATTACGTATACATTAATCGTCGTAACGGTTTAGGGAGAAACGACCAAACTCTGTATGTCGTGACGTTGGGGGTTCCTTCCGGAACAAAGCCTGTGCTTGAATCGGCGTAAAATTGCACAAATTGGACAGACTACCGTGCTACTGTTCCCTAATAGCCCCTAACACGCTTCGATTTGGGCATGCAGGAGGAAAAAAATAACATGCTTAGTGGCTTCTGACGTGACGCTACTGAATTGAGAGCGTTGCGATACAATTTTTAAAAAACATCAGGGGAAACTCAGAATTCATCCCCTTCCACCGTAAATGTTTTTATTAGTTTCCTGATGATGAGTGTTTTGCTCCTCCCTCCCATGGAAAATCCTGCCTCAATCAATGTCCCAAATATAGGGACCTACCGGCGATTCGGCAGGAACCGGAGCTGGATAGTTCGGATGGTGGAGTACAAGTATCGCTTTCCGAAGGTAAGACCTGCTCCTATAAATTTCTTTGGCCATGATTATGAAACTGAAAATAATCAAATTTAGTACAACCTACCTGGGAGTTCTAGCAAGGCAGTAGATGAGAGTGGAGTAATCCCTTTGGCATACTTGTACAGGTGAGTCATTCCATCAGCAACAGGATGACACAAATAATTGTCTGGCTGAATTAGCTGTAATAACCAAAATACGTTCTTGCAACCATTAAAAATCATAGATACGAAACACTTTCAAGGACTGTTTCTTCGCGTGGTTGTTCTAACAAGACTGTGGATGTGACTTGGCATATTTGTACAGATCTGTTTTATAACCATCAACAACACGATTGTACTCACAAAAAGACAAACATTCTGGTTAAAGCTTCTGTATAAACAATCCAAATTCTTTCGGTTGTTTAAACACTTGAGGATTAAGCTACACGATGTACTACTGCTGTGCCGAACTTTAAATGAGACAATATCCGCCCCGAGCTGAAGTGCACCCCAATCGGCGAAAGAAAGAGAGGTAGTTACAAGCGAGTTCTTGCGCGCGTTCGGAATGAACGCAAAGACTATTGACAAGAATATAAGATTAAATCAGTGCTCTGAAATATATGATTACCGAAAGTTGCTACGCAGCCCTTCCATATTTCTCTGAACGCAAATACTATCCGGTTTGTAAGTGACTTCGTCACAAAGGCTGACGCGCCACGATTTGCAGGCTCTCATTGGACAATCGCTGAAGTTGCGCGTTAACTTCCGGTTCCATGTAAACGGCGATCAATAAAATATGGAAAGGCTGCGTAGCACCGTGATCGGAATATCGACAAGAATATAAGATTAAATCATTGCTCTGAAATATATGATTGCCAAGCTTCCGGTAACTGAGCACTTTCTTGAGGGCAAACAGATTCAGTTCTGAATGAACGCGGAAAAATCCACGTTCATTCCCCCTGGATGCAGCGTTCCAAGTTCAAAAATGACGCGCTGCTACAGTTTCTTACGCTGTACATAAGATGACGCTTTCCGCATGAATGCAGACACTTACATCACGGAGAGTATGTGGCGGCGCGCAAAAGTGCTGCGCAACAGTGAGCAGGTGTTTGTTGGCGCACACTGTGCAAACTTATATCAATCACATATTTCAGAGCACTGATTTGATATTATATTCTCGGCGATATTCTGATCAGGGTGCTACGCAGCCCTTCCATATTTCTCTGATCTACATGCCGGAATAATCTGGAAGTGCAGCGTAGCACCGTGATCAGAATAACGATCATGGTTGACAAGGGAACAACGTCAGCACCTCAGATGTAACACCTGCCCCTACATAACTGACAGCCCGTTGGTCGTCAGCCCCCGCGGTAGTTACAGAATATGCGGGGATCATACATGCATTACTAGTAATGTGGTTTATTGCATTACATGCGTCACTGTGGTAAACTCTACCGAGAGACCGAGCGTCGCCTTGGTGACCGCTTCGCGGAACACTTGCACAGTGTGCGCCAACAAACACCTGGTCCCACTGTTGCGCAGCACTTTTCGCGCCGCCACATACCCTCGGTGACGTAAGCGTCTGCATCCTGAGGAAAGCGTCATCTGATGTACAGCGTAAGGAAGTGGAGCACCGCATCATTTTCAAACTTGGAACCAAAGATTATATAGCGCCGCGTAGCGGCGCAAGATGGGTAATTCGGCCATAAAGGTGTTATCACCATAGGCGCCATTCGAGTGTGAACGTTAAATTGTGTGCGTGCCTGTCGCGGCGCCTGCGCCTGCGCATTAACATGCACTGCGCAGGCGTAGTCTAACCAGAATGGCGCCTATGTGATAACAACGTTTTACACGTATTCATGGTGAAGTTCCCCATCTTGCGCCGCTACACGGCGCTATACGATCTTTGCTTGGAACGCTGCATCCAGAGGGAATAAACGTGGATTTTTCCGCGTTCATTCAGAAATGAATCTGTTTGCCCTGAAGAAGGTACTCAGTTACTCAGCTCGGTAATCACATATTTCAGAGCACTGATTTGATATTGTATTCTTGTCATTACATGCCGGAATAAATTAGTTACGCGTAATCAGCTTGCTCTGCATCAAATGCGCATATACTTGCACGCCTCGTGGCGCCCCTATGTGGTGAATAGTCTGCTTCACTACCCAAAGATTACCTGATGACACTTGATAAAAAAAAACGTTGGTCAGGCATCTCCCATTGATATAAATAGATATGACGCAAGGGTCAGGGGTCACAAGTTGAGAGCGCGGGTGTTTTCGATTTCATTACAGTGAAGCACCCTGTCTGTGTGGGCATTGTGTGCATTTTGCCTAGCTGGCATTGATTTCGGCCAAAGTGACCTTTGGTAACAATGTTAAGTGCAATGTTGTAGGGTTAACAGCTGTCATTACAATAAATACGGGAGTTTACAAATAGCTAGTCTACCCGCCCCGCCGGGAATAACTGAACTTATTTAGATTGGGAAGGCCGACATACAAGCCTGCATACTGTTGATATTTAGATGTGTCTATGCCTTGAATTCAAATGTGTGAAACAGCCCATTAAACCATGGAGGAATAAAACACAGTGGAAAAGTTGTAATATAAGACAAGGTTATGAACATTCTTAGCTTCATCTCATGCTCAAAATATTCCAATTAATAACCAATTTCCTCACTGGATATAGGTGTTGCAGAAAGAACCTAGAGTATGCATCTCCTTTCTGAGGCCAGCCCCGTGCTGCTATTTCTGAAGCCAGCCAAGATTTCAGTCATCCTGTACACACTCAATGTCGGCACACTGACTTACCGTAAATTCATTACACTGAACCTAGCCCCACAAATAGGGCTGTGGTGGCGACAGATAAGAGACAGATTGTAAAAGAAAGCCACCACAGCCCTACTTCAAGGCATGTCTTAAATGCCTGAAATCCAAACTGCAGGATTGTCACAAACTTTGAATCCCAATATCTTCCGAAATGAGAACGACTCGACAATTTTACTTACACTGGCATATTCCTCAGGGCTTGGACTTTTATACAAGCACCCTAAAGCTTTCCCAAATCGTAAATTTTCCGGTGTATGGCGCCTTGAAAAACCCGGCCTGTAGTATTGGCCTACTTGCTGACCACAGGCGGCGCCATTTTGAAAAACGAAGCCAGTGCTTCGTGCGTCAGAAGTCTAGACACCCGACACGTGCCGTAGATGCATAATTCATATAGTCACAGTATATTGCTTAGTAATAAGTTGCGCGCACACTTTGCTAGTGTACAATACGCTCGCAGCAAGTGTGTGGAGCATGATACAGACATGCATATGAATGTTATTCAAATTCAATTTCACCAGTTGTTTGTTCCTCTGTCACGCAAAGTATGATGGGAAACCAGTAATGTATAGTACAACGTTTACCAGAGCGCCTGTCGGTTGCCTTGAAATCCGACGCACGAAGCGCTGCCTCTCTTTTTTTTCAAAAAGGCGCTGCCCGTGGTCAGCATGTAATACTACAGGCAGGGTTTATCAAGGCGCCATACACCGGAAAATTTACGATTTTGGAAATATCTAGGGTACTCGTATGAAAGTCCAAACTCCGAGGAATACGCCAGTGTAAGTAAATATGTCGAGTCGTTCTCACTTCGGAAGATATTAGGATTCAAAGTTTGTGACAATCCTGCAGTTTGGATTTCAGGCGTTTAACACATGCCTTGAAGTAGGGCTGTGGTGGCGACATATAAGAGACAGATTGTAAAAGCCCTATTTGTGGGGCTTACTCAGAACCCTGCAAAAAGCTTATTTTGTAGTCTTCTCCGTCCTGAATGCAGCCCGTACTGCTTCTCTGAAGCCACCCAAGATATTCTGTACTCACACATTGCCGAGTGATCAGTACACGTAGCTCCACCATTTGTCTGATTTAGTTTACATACCGAAAACGTGCTGCAGAAAGACCCAGCCAAGTAGCCCACCGAGTATGCTGCACCATTCTGAATACAGCCCCGTACTGCTTCTTTGAAGCCAGCCAATATATCAGTCATCTTGTATACACACAATGCCGAGTGATCGGTTGGTACCGGTACATCACTGGCACCTGGAGTCGATTGGTTCTTTGCAAACACAGCATACAGCACCTCCTGGTCTGGTTGGAGACCCAATGATGCCGCTAGATCAGGTCCTGCTGGTCCTAAGTGAGCTGCTTGCACCAAGCTGTACACAGTACCATCTGATCCACTGCACTGGATGGTGATTTCGGTGTAAGCATCAAACACGCTAGTACTGGTTTGACATACTCTGTTAATCTTAGAAACAAAACTACCAGAATTGATGTCTAGCTTTTGAGAAGCAACAAAATATGTAAATCCATCGTAGTCAAATGCGAAAGAATACCTTATTACAAAGGTCTTAGTGCCTGTGCTTTCGGTGCTGAAAAAAATGGTATCTGTGAGCATAACTGCGCCCAAATAGTTATCTTTCAGTGGATCAAGGTTCCTTCTTGTGATTGGTTGAAAGAAGGATTGATCAACACTACTTTCATCACTGTAGGTAACAGCAATATAAAGCATTGGTTGTTCTCTGCCATTGGTAATTAAACCGACAGTACTTACACCCTCAAACCCTGCAACGTGAGGAATTGATTCCCTCACAACAACGCTTATATCAAGTAACTGTCGTAAGTAACATCGACCATCATACGCACCACCACAGGTTATCAGACTGTTCGGCCGAGTAGTGTCAACTACCAGTATCTTGTTGTAGTTATTTGTACGACGACATGGCATCCCATTGTAAGGCATACTGTCATCACACGTTGAAGCATTCTGTATCTGTTCCAACCTACTATTCAACCTGTACAACCAATTGACAGCTCCAACATAGACATCACCATGATCACTCAAGGTAAAATGGTTGAACGTTTGGGCACGGGGTACATCTTCTTGATCAGGATTATTGAAGCTGGCTAGCTCATAGGCTGACAGATCTCCTTGCCGCTCTGCTGATGCCATCCAGACATCGATACAGATGGCACTCAAAGACAAACCAACAACTGACAAAAAGGCCATTTGTATTCCGAAGAACTCCATAATGCTTAAGAACAGATTGTCTCGATGTTTTTAAAACGATGCACGTTGGGCAGACAGTCTGCAAAAGAGGAAAGGGAGAACAACTTACTGGGCTAAAGAAAATGTCTTAATGATATCGCACCACATTTACTTTTTATCAGTTTTTATACATGCGTGTGAAATAAACAAGCACGTTTTTTCCCAGTAAACGTCTTTATTTTGGTAACAAAAACAGTTATACAAAGTGATTCACAACTTCAAGTTCTTCCTCAAACGATTCTTTGCGGAATCTTTCAATAAACGTTATTGGCCACGTTGCCAAGGGCGGCACCACAAGTCAACATCTAAAATTTAGCAAAGCAGATTTTCTGGGGGCGGGGCTCAAAATTGAGGATCTCTTTTTGTAATGTACATAGCCTTTTGAAAGTCTAACGCTTCACATTTTAGAGCAGTTTGGAAGCCTTGGAGGAAAGGGAATTTTAATTATAAGAAAAATTATTTCTCTCATTTGCAATGCGTTCAAGCGTTTCACTTTCACGGACACAAAAATCGACTCCATTAACATAACACACATGTGCGTTGCGTTCGACCGTCAAAATCGACGCAGGAACGATTTTGACGGATACACAACGCTTGACGCAAGTGGTCACATGCACATGGAAAGGTACGTTCAAGGGCGATTTTGACGGCCGAACGTAACACACACGTGTGTTATGTTAATGGAATCGTTTTTCGTGTCCGTGAAAGTAAAACGCATGAATGCATCTTGTACGCAACGCACCCCCACAAAGGTGCATATGGAAAGGCACCTTAACTCGGTGTAGACGTCAGAACCACCTAACCATCTAGAATGCTGGGGGGTCGGCTGGCCGATCCGAGTTAAAAGTATACAGCTAGTACCGCAACAAATTCCAAAGATGTGTCGATCGAACCTGTCTACCATCCTAAGGTGTTTGTGTCTAAGCTGCTATGTTTTGTTTTAAACCACCCGTCTGACAAGGACAAGCTCAAAGTTCAAAAGTGTGTGAACCATCTACACTAACTGTGGGTTCTCTTGTCACCAAGTAACCCTGACGTCTCTTCTATCAAGCTGAGGCAAAACAGTGACTTGAGTGCACAGTTTTACTTTCCATTTTGTATGAATTTACACTAGGTTATGAAACAGTCGATGCTGAATATTTACTATTAATATTCAGTGCTTAAGCAAATTTTTCACAATGTTAGGCATATTCATGTTCAATCTACATCGGCGTCCCGATTTTGTTCTTAATATCTTCAGTGTGTTGGTCATTACTATACCGAAACCTCGGGAATTCTTTTCAGACATCAAGGGGGATGTGGTAGGTAACAGAGTGTGTATAGGGTTTGGACACGTAGGTGGGTACCTCTCGATCTGCCGTATCTTGCTGAGTATATGAACAATACGGGCGATTCACAATAGCGCGCCACCAAGAGTTTGCAACACGTTGGCCAATCATAACGTGCAAATTTTTCAAATGCGCATTGGGTCGACAAATTTTGCGCACTGTGATTGGCCAACGCGTTGCAAACTCTTAGTGGCGCACTTTCTGAAACGGCTCTATTGTTTGACGAACAATTCAGTCCTCCGATATAATTCAAGGTGACAAACGAACCAAAGTTGTCTGTGATTTGTGATTGTATGAGAGAAGGATAATGAAGCCTTTTCTTACTACCCTCACGAATAGTTTCAAACTTCAAACGTCACCAGAAACAACGTGATTAAATCAATAAAATTGTTATTTGGAAAAAGTGTTCTAAATTTGACAGTAATTTTTGTCGTATGAATTTTTGAACAGAACAAATGGAAGACTTTGAGGCGCATGGTGGTGGCAGACATATCTACAAAAACCAGAGGCACATTAACGTAACATCTTGTGGAGATCAATGCATGTAAACACAGACAGATCGACTATTACGTGCGTGGTTAACTGGTGAGCGTACGGTGTTGTAGAAGTGTCATCCTACTTTTTTATCTAATTGTTTAGACTATCCTGGTTTGATTTATCGCGCGTGACGATGTTCTGAGGGTAACATGGAATTTCTCAGATCGAACACACCCCGAAGATGTGCCGTTAACCTCCGGAGGCTACACATATAATTAATCTGGATGATGTTTTTCTAATAGATTTCTGGTGCACGTACTGCTTCATGCAACCCAAACCGGTATATCGGCCTGGCGCTTTTAGTTCACAGTAAAAAAAAAGCTGAAACAATAGTCAAAACAAGTAAAAGTGTTTGAACATTATTGTGATAAAAACTTACCCAATATTACAATCCCTAATCCAAATGGAAATGTTCTTAGCATCTGATCCAGTTGTGGGTCAGATAACCTGATCCCACAAGCTAGCTGTAAACATAGATCTGAGGAGTTGATCAATTCATCGAGTAGGTTGAGCACTGGGCAACCAAGGGAATCTGGTAGATCAGTCGGATTATCAAGTGGATTTGGTGGATGGTCTTGTGGATCGGGTCACTTTACTCGATCGAATTGGAAAGTTGTACAAGTAGCAAAGGATTCCAATTGATCACAGCACTGGAAGAAACATCTGAACAGAGGAGTCAAATAACTACACGAATGGGTCAAAGAAGGAAGCAGTGGTTTTTAATAATTCCTCGTTCATCCTTGTACACGCTCACATTACTAGATTATTCTGCACATCATTGCTACACAATTCTACATCCTGCACCTAAAATACACTTAAAATCATCAACCAATCATACTCTACTATTACAATGTGAGTGACTTTTGACTATTACTACCATACGAGCTCTGTCCACGCCTTCTTAACGGTTCCAGCCAATCATAACCTTAGATTTTGGTATGGGTGATTGAGCCATCACTACACCCTGCCATAGATTACATGCCCAAAATCAGCCTGTTGCCATACACAATTTCTACTGGGATAGGCTTATTGCGCTTCTCCACTGACCTAATAATTTAATATTATGCTGTCCGTTCGGAAGCTGCCAGAGCAGTGGTCTCAGTCCTAAGAGGAGGTTCTGCCTTGTAGGTTTGTGCATCCAGGCAACTTTAAGGTGAGCAAAACTTTCAGCTTTCCTTATGTAAGATCGTACCTAGCATTTATATTTTACAGAGGAAGCTTACAAGAAGAAACTCCAGTAAATTCAACCAGTGAATCATCTGACATAATCACTTGACGTTTGAGCAAATCACCATAAACTAATCAAATTATTGCAGTAAGTCATCATACAAGATAAATCTTGCGAGGTCGATTTCTGTTGCAATAAAATGATTCAACAGAGAAAACAAATTCTAGGCCACTCTCGAATCTGTGGGTCTGGTGATGGTTAAGGCTCGTTCTTGAGGAGCAACGAAAGCTTTTTCTCAGAAAGGAGTCAGCGGGATGCAATCTTTTGTCTTGAGCTTACTTGCGATCTTGTCAGGTGAGAGGGGGTTCCTGATGTGATTTACTTCTTGGAGACTGTTTCGTGGACACGTGACGATTAGTGGCTCGTTTTAGATTTTCCATAAGGCCTGCAAGGAAATCTTTAGTGTAGCATTCAGACGTCCCTTGAGGCATCAGTTGGTTCCTTTTTCCTGCTGGTGAGAAATGTCCTCGTTGCTTTTTATCATGACTTATATCTGAGGAGGACTGTTAAGAGACTGATCAAGGACCGTCTCAGTGTTAAAACTGACCGTTGGACTTCCCTTTATCTGATCTTTCACTGCTTGTACAAAATGTAAAGTTATTAGGGGTCTATCCTACAATAGCGGATATGAAACTTTCACATTAGTCTCCGGCTTACTTGTCAAAAATCTTCCCGAGATCCATCTATCCAGAGCCACGTGGCCTCATAAACTGACTTTGAAACGTCAACTGAGGTTCGAGGCCACCTCAATGGACGTTTCAAAGTCATATTATGATTGAATCATTAGAGACAAAGTAGATATGTATACATCAGAACACAAAATCAGTCAACTGGATGTCTTCTTTTTAAAAACGAATCTCGCATTGTGTGTATCCCTTGGCTATTTGCACAGACTTTCACCTCGCTGATATTAGGCCTCGGGAGTACATATTCGTTTCTCCACGGAGTCAACATGTAGCCTGCCTAAATCTCTTGCATAATTATTATAAAGAGTCTCTTTTTGTTGATTCCTCTTAAGGAGACCGAAAAAGCATATTGCTCGGCTTTAACAGGTTGAAACAATGGTGCTACAATAAACTTCACTCCTGACTCTCTTCCGTGCTACCTCCAAGTCCTCCATAACTGTTTCCTTACATCTTCCTAAAATTCTGGCTGAATACGTAGAGTACTTCCGTTTCCACGAGTGGGCGTGGACGTTTTTCTGCCGACTCATTTAGAAGCATCTTTCTCCCATTCAGAGGCATTCGTTTGCATTAAAAGGTCTCGTTTTTTTGTGTCTCAAGTGTTTTTTTTTTTTTTTTGCCTCCATTCTATGTCGATCGGTAAGGTATCTCGTCTGGCTTCTTTAGACATACTGTCTACCATTGGCTGTTAAAATGCAAATTAACGTCATTCTCACGACCCCTTGACGTGCCCATTTTCATCCTTATTTTCAAAAACATAAGTTGTCTCGTGACCCTTTGCTGTGCTCGGATGTGCACAGAAACGAACCTTCCCCGATAAAAAAAATGGTAACACATGTAGTTAAAAGGAAACAAAGATCAATAACAATTAATTAAAACATGAGAAACAGGAAAACATAAAAACCATTATTATAAAAAACGGTTAATCAATATATACACCAACAAGCAATTGTAAAACCAGCCGGCTATAAATATACTCAAATTCCCATCTTCCCTGATATTAATATTAAGCACAAATTCAAAATATTCCTGCTTATTCCTGACAAATAAGCTGCAAAGAACAAACGACCACAACAAACAAGAAACAGGAAAACGTGAAAGAACAACAAAAGTAGCTCTTTATCATAATGTCTCGCGAAACAGCTGTGTTTTCAAGCCTGCTTTAAATGTACTCCAACTCTCGGTTTCCCAGATGTTAATATTGAGCTTATTTGAAAGCAATGGGCCAATAGCGGAAAACATCCTATCACCAGCTGAGTTCAAGTTAGTTCTTGGGCGCACCAGTCTGGATCCCTCAGTAGACAAACGTGTGTTCCTTGCAGGTGTCTGGATTTGAAGTAGCTCGCTAAGGTAATCTGGCGCAAGACCATGCAGGCATTTGAAAACCATCAAACAAACCTTGAAGTTAATCCTATAAAGTATCGGTAGCCGGTGCAACTGCATTTGCACAGTGCAATGTGTTTATGTTTCTCAGTTCCTGTCAGGAGTCTGGTAGCAGCATTCTGGACTCTCTGCAGCGGTGCGAGGGTCAAGGAAGGTAGCCCAGCCAACACTGCATTGCAGTAGTCCAGACGGGAAGTGACGAGCATGTGAACAACCTGCTCAAGTACAGAGCGACAAAGATAACACTTTATCTTGCCCATGTTATGAAGATGACACTGCATGCTCATGTTAGACTCTAAATTGACTCCCCTGGTCCTAACGTGAGACCTGGAACTAATGCTGTGTACACCGATGTTGATCGTTACAGATGGAACCTTCCTCAATGATGCTGGGGATCTCAGGATAATAATATCTGTCATATCATCATTCAATTTCAAATAACCAGGACCGAATATCGCAGCAACAGGCCTCTAAAATAGCAATCTGAGATGCCACATCAGCAGAACTAGGTCTGGCTGAAATGTACAACTGGGTGTCAACGGCGGAAAAGTGACATTTGAGGCCATGTTTGCGAATAACATCACCCAGAGGTCGGATGTAGATGTTAAAAAGGATGGGGCCTAATACTGGCCCCAGTGGAACTCCATAACATAGTGGATAAGAAGCAGCTGTCTCAGACTGAAGACAGTCGCGACGAGAAGAACCTCTGACAATGACTCTCTGACGACGGTTACTGAGATATGATAAAAACCAATCTATGTTGCCTGCAAGGTCAAAGTAATTAATTTTCATTCGCCTACCTTGACCAGTGTGTTTCAGTGTTTGTAAAATCCTATCCCATTAGCTGAGAATTACTCCGCTCTAATATCTGTAGAAGCACTTGCTTATATTTTCACATGGACCGCTGAACTTGACAGCTCTCTCTCTCCATCCATTGTCATAAGGACTACACAGGTTTTCAAATGGCGGTGTGCATCATATCAGAGCATGAATTCTACCAGCACATCCAGCCCCTTGAATAACACAGTTCTCTTACTCTTAGACAAGCCACAACATTTACACCAGGTCTGTTTTCGGTATCAGTTCTCTTCAGCTTCATGGTTCCGTATAATGAATTTACTCCCTCGGTCGAGAATCCAATTTCAAAAGCAGCTTCATTTTCTGCTTTGAAAACCGCAGAAGGCCTCATTATAGGCCTATAATGAGGCCAAAGTGTGGAGTACCAGTGCTACCGTGTTAGGGTTTAACGGTAGGCAATTAAAAATCGACCGTGGAGCTGGAGAGTTCGGCTCACACGAGGACCTAGTTGGAAGTTAGAGGAAAAGATCCTGGCTTGCAGTGCGGCCAAATCTGGTTTCCCGTCACCTTCACATATTGCCTCCGCATTTACGTTGTGAAGACATTGCTCCAGAATCTACTAGGATCACTCACCCAGTCGATTTTTTTACACTCCACGATATTTGCAATGGCTACCCTTTTAATATAGCATTTTGGGAACATCCTGTCGGAACACGATGAAAAGGCTCCTGTATTGGCCCTTTTCCCGCAGTCTGTTTTATTTGACTCTGAAGCGTCAGAATTACTCGATCCGCCAAAGATCACATAATCACACGATCAAGACTCAACATTTTGGCCGGTTCGGTGAAGTTTGACACCCTACCGTGAATAGAAGCTGTTCAACACAGACGCAGAGATCGATGTTAGACCGTATGGCAAAGGTTGAAAATGAAACTTCACAAACTGCGTCTGACGCAATTTCCCAGCAGTGTCGTCCTCTGGCAGTTCTGTAGCAAGTTTTAACATAACCGGTCTACGTCTTCCTCAGTATTTCATCCTATCGTCTTTCATAACCTGTACACCTTCATAAATTTCGATTTGAACTCCCGCCACGTCGGTCACATTTATTCAAAGAGAGGAAAGGGCTGTTTCCCAGTGTTTCTGTTTGCACAGGTATACAGAATTGCTGATACCGTGATAATTCACGGTAAAATTGACACCGGGCTCTTCAACCAATAACTTTACTTCGACGTGCAGGTGACAATATTTTGTACCCGCCTACTCAGCGGGGCTAGGCCAACCAGATTTTGATGCATTCGTATGAATGTCACTATTGTCGGCTCTCTATTAAGTCCAATGATCATTTCTCAGGTTAAAAAAAAATCAGCTGAACGCACTTCGGTACCGAAGAACTGTGCAAGAAGGGTGAGAAGGCTACTTTAAAGGAAGTGGATAGAAGACTCAAAAATAAACAGAGCTTCAGGCAAGATTTGTTTTTAAGAGCAGTGCAATCATCCAATGACAAATTTAAACACATTACAAAACAAAAGAGTCGACTGCCACCAAAATCGCGAGAATGAAGGTTTTTGTACTGGTCCGCAGG